CTGACATCTTACAAGGATGGTAGCCAGAACATCACTAGTGAGAAGTTAGTGTTGTGGAGCTCATTACCTGCTGCCATGTACTTTGTTCTTATGCCTATTGAGCAAGCATTACAGTGACTGAGGAAGGAGGTTTGTGAACATTCTCAGGGCAGACTATGCTTCCTCTACAATGGAAGCCTTTTGCTTAGCATTCTTGTGGAACACAAACAATTATACTCTGTTTGGCTTCATTTCAGTAGGCCCATTTCATCTACATGTCTCTTCCCTAGAATTCCTTGTTTCTAGCTGTCCAATATTTCTTCTTTCAGGTCCCTATTGATCTGGCTAAACTTGTGGTCACTGCCCGGCAGGCCATCTTTCCTCAGCCAAAATGGACCATTGATATACTACTTCAATATACTACTACTAGTTCTGTCCACTGAGAGAAAGTGTCTTTTCAGAGACCACCCCTTAGAATGGATAAAATGTTATTATAGTCCACTTATGACTCAAGAGAATAAAGGGTCAGTTGGAACTAGCATTCATCTATATATCGAGATGCACATGCACACACATGTATGTGTTCTATTTCTCTGAATTTTATTCTTTCTGATTAGTGCTCTTACTTCTCACCTCAGTGACTTAGTGAGACCCTAAATGCAATGATGTAATGATTCATCACCCTTTGAATTTTTTTTTCCTGTCTTAGCCTGGCAACTGCAGGAGTTTCAAGTTGCTTTTTTGGTGGACATAGTAAGTTCCTGAATTTCAGTTTTAGTCTGGAATTAGAGATGGAGCATGAATTTATTTGTTTCCACCCCTCTGTTCTTTTGCTCTCCAGCCCTCTCTCTGTTGCTGTGAGCCCTTTGATATTCTTCCAATAAATTCCTTTTCCAACCATAGAAAGTTTATGCTTACAACCAGGAACCCAGACAGTTAAAGACATTAATATTAGGAGGTAAATGTAGGAAACAGAATCTCAGGAACCTGTGAGGATAATAAATGGGCTAGATGAGTTGGAAGTAACTCAGGTCCATTAGTTTTCAAAACACTAATTAATTTTTTAAATGACTATTACCTGTGGTCACCAGAATAAAATTTTTTTTGTTTAAATTAAATGACGTTGTTAAAAGTAGCCACCCTGTACTCACAGTGTTGAATTCCTATGTCCTTCAAACTTCAAAGGCAGTGGTGATCATAGGTTCCCCAGATCTTCAATAGGAACTTTATTCTAGTGAACGCAGGTAATAATTTAGTTATTTTGAAAATTAATAGGATCTGGGTCTTTAATTGCCTGGACTCTTGGTTGCAAGCAAGAGAAACCAACTCTGGTTGGGAAAGGAATTAATTGGAAGGATGGATATTGAAGGGCTACATAAACAGCAGGATACTTGAATGACCTGAAAACAGAATGTGAACCAAGGCAATTCTAGAGAGCTAGGAACAAGAAATCCAGTAGTCATCTTTTATCACAGTTAGTTTAGTCATGATGCTAAAGGTTTTTACCACTGCTTTTGCAGGATACCATTTTCACTGTATTATCACTAGAAACCACTCTAGCTGCCATGAGTGAATCCTAAGCACCCCTTTGTCTTTGTGTCATTGTCTTCACCTTCAAGGTCTTAAGTAGAGACAGAGTTTAAGTCACTCACTGTACTGACTTTGGGTTCTCACAGTCAGTGGTCTTCTATACAGAGAGGCGGGGCATTATGTAGAAGGAGTCACTTCTTTGATGGGAATCGTAGTCTTTTGTCCTACTTATAGGCAGTGTACAATTCTTCCTTTCCAATTTGTATGCTTTTTCTTTCTTTTCTTGCTTTATGGCACTCACTGGGCTCTTGAACACAATGGACACCCTTGTTTTTTTCCTGCACCAAGAGAAAGCATTTAGTTTTTCACTATTTAAAGTTTGATCTTAGCTCTTGGATTTTCATAGAGGCCTTTAATCAAGTTGAGGAATTTCTTGTTGAGACTTTTATCATGAGTGAATGTTGAAATTTTGTCAAATGCTTTTTCTTTATATACTGACACATGATTATATGTGTTTGTTCATTGATGGTTAATGTGGTGAATTCTATTGATTGATTTTTGAATGTTGCACAAATCTTGCATTACTTGTCATCCTTTTTATATATTGCTGAATTCTTTTTGTTAATATAGTGTGAGAATTATAAGTCTGTGTTTATGAAAGATACTGAACTAATGAATCCTTTGATTTTGGTATCTAGGTAATGTGGGCTTCATGAATCTAGTTGGAAAGTATTCCATCCTTCTCTATTGTCTGGAAGAATTTGTATAGAATTGGTAATAATCTTTTCTTAAATATTGGCAGAATTCACCAGTGAAGCCATCTGGACTTGGAGTTTTCTTTGTGGAAAGACTTTAAACTATGAATTCAATTTATTTAATAGGAATTTATTGGAAGGATATTGAAAGGTACAGAAATGGGAGTAGTCAGGTATTGATATTTTCTGTAATAATGCTAGACAGTTTGTATCTTTCAAGGAATTTGTTCATTTCATCTAAGATGTTGAATTTATTGACTTAAAGTCATTTGTAATTTCCTTATTATTCTTTTAATGTTTTTAGGATGTGTAATGATGTCCCCTTTCTCATTACTGATATTGGTAATTTGAGTCTGTCTGTCCTTGTTTTTCTTGATCAGTCAGGTTAGAAATTTATGTATGCTCTTCTTTTTAAAGAATAAGTTTTTTGTTTTATTGATTTTCTTCATTATTTTTATTTTATATTTTTGAGTTGGAGTCTCACTCTGTTGCCCAGACTGGAGTGCAGTGGCACGCTCCCGGCTACTGCAGCTTCACCCTGTTGGGCTCTGGCAATCCTTCCGCCTTAGCCTTCCAGGTAACCAGAACTACAGACCCGCTCTACCACACCCGGCTAAATTTTGATTTATTGTAGAGATGAGGTCTCACCAAGTTGCCCGGGTGGGTCTTGAACCTGTGGGCTCAGGCAGTCTATTTGCCTCGGCCTCCCAAAGTGCTGGGATTACAGGCTGAACCACTAAGCCTGACCTTCGTCATTATTTTTATTGTCTTCATTTTCTATCCATTGATTCTTGTTTCTTTATTATTTCCTTCTTTCTACTTACCTGGGATCTAATTTGCTCTTCTCTTTTCCAGTTTTTTATGGTAGAAGCCTAAATCACTGACTTGACATGTCTTCTTTCCTGATATGAACATTTATGCTATAAGTGACCCTCAAATCACTGCTTTAGCTGCTTCTTACAAATATTAATATGTTGTGTTTTAATTCAATTCAAAATATTTTCTGGTTCTCTTTTCATTTCTTCTTTAGCTCATGGGTTAATTTCTAGATATTTGGGGATTTTCCAGACAGCTTTCTGTTAATTTTTCCCTCACATTTTTTCTGTCTTTGGCTTTTTGATGTACTTTATGGGATATTATCACCCATTTAAGGAGAAGGCACTGGTCTGAGCCCACATTGTATGTGAGGAGCTCACAGGCCAAGCTACAAGGTACCTAGAGCATAGTCTGATAGGCAAGTGTACAGGTAGACTGTAGTCTGGTCTCTTTTGGATAGTGTGTGAGAAATGGGGCCATCTCTGCCACATTTCAGTAGCAAGGCTGAAGATCAGAATTTGTTAGAAGTATATGTATGAGGCATCCACATCCACTATTCCTCTTCACCACTGTGTACCTAAGAACTTTGGCAATGTTCTGGTACTTTCGACTTGTACCATTATATAGGAAACAGTATTTTTCACAGAAGTCGAATGGTCCCAGAGAAGGCCCTAATGCTGACTTTGCAGGGAGTACTTAGAATGGATTCCTGATCAACTATGATAGATGAGTAGACTTATGCAACAGAGGAGGTGGCCGTCTCTGGTTCATATTACATTGCCTATTAGCTGTCTGTATTCAACACACAACTTTAGACCTGGGATCTGTGTGTGGCATGGCAATATTCACAAGAATAGAGAACTTTCAATTTTAATACCATATATATGTAGATGACACATAGATAAAGAGTGAGTTCTGCCCTTTAAAAGGTAAAACCCTGCTTAATAAAGTCAGGGCTCTCCTGTTAAATGCAATCTTTTTTTTTTTTGAGTTGGAGTCTCACTCTGTCGCCCAGACTTGAGTGCAGTGGCCGCTCCCAGCCACTGCAGCCTCGACCTGCTGGGCTCCGGTTATCCTTCCGCCTCAGCCTTCCAAGTAGCTGGAACTACAGGCGCGTGCTACCATGCCCGGCTGATTTTTTTATTTATTGTACAGATGAGGGTTTGCCAAGTTGCCCAGGCGGGTCTCGAACCCACGGGCTCAGGCAATCCACTCACCTCAGCCTCCCAAAGCACGGGATTACAGGCTGAGCCACCGAGCCTGGCTGCAATCTTATTTTTAATGGGCCAGTGCCCTAAAATGTGAATGACTGACTGGATTACAGATAATTTTAATTTTCTTCTTGTGCATTTCTATGTTTTCTAACTTCTCTATGATGAACATGTACTACTTTTGTGTTGAGATAAAATATTTTTAAGTTTAAGAGGTAAAAAATAGTAGAATTGTAGAATAAATAGGAACGTCAGAACTAATCTAGTGAGAATGACTTAAGGTATAGGCACTCTGAAACTAATGATTTCATAGAAAACTAGGTTGATCAGAATTGTCTCTAAAGGCAAGAGAAAGCACTGATAGAAGACTTTAATAATATATTTTGATTTCCCCATGAAGAACAATTACAGAAATCCTAAGAAAAGCTTTCTGGCCTTGTTCCCCAACTCAGAATTTCTTAAAGGAAAAAAAGAAGGTAAAATTATATTATATTCATGGATCTAACAGGACAAGAACATCCACTGTCTTCTGCTTGACCCCCTCCCCACCCGCCCCGACCCACACCCATTCACTGATGCTCATGTTCCTACTGGTGGAAGCACAGGAGATTTAAAAAACTTTCCTAATACTTTACTTTTAAAGAGGAGGCAGGTGCATACATTCCATTTATTTGCTAACCTAGTTGTTCCCTCTTTGTTCTATTTACAGGCAGCTGGCTAAGAGTCTTGGGCAGGCTGGTGAAATTGAGCCTGAAACAGAAGGAATACTAACAGAATATGGTGTTGATTTCTCTGATTTCTCTTCAGAAGTTCTAGAATGTCTTCCTCAAGGTCTGCCATGGACAATTCCACCAGAGGAGTTCAGCAAGAGAAGGGATTTAAGGTAAACCACCTGAAACCCTTTAAGAATAACATGTTTCTACCTTTCTGCCTTCTTACTTAACTTTCCTAGGGATTGGGCTCAGATGTTTTCATCTTTCCACCAACATTGAAATTCAGTTCAGTTGAGAATTAAGTGTTTCTGTACCAGAGCTCGGCAAATTATGATCCACAAGCTACATCTAGCCCACTACCTGTTTATATTCAGTCCATGAGCTAAGAATGGTTTTTATATTTTCAAGTGGTTGGAAAAATTAAAACAAGAATAAGAATAATATTTTATGAAAATCATACGAAATTCAGATTTCAGCATCCATAAAGTTGCATTGGAACACAGCCATGCTTATTTGTTTATATATTCTCTGTGGCTGTTTTTGCACTACAACAGTGGAGTTGAGTAGTTGCAACTGAGACTGTATGGCCTACAAAGCCTAAAATATTTACTGTATGCCTTTTACAGAAAAAGTTTGCTAACCCCTGGTCTTGACTATTCTAATTTCAAAAGGTACAGTTGTCTCCTTGTTTTCCCATTGCTTTACCCCATAGATCTGGTCAAACAGAGTGTTATCTAGTTAGAAGTGCCTTCCTTTAAATGGGCCTCTTCAGGCAGAGACCAAAGGATTCAAGACTTCTGTACTTGGAGCCTCATTTTAAAGCTTTACTTTTAGGTCTGGAATTTGTTGGAAAGTACTTTTGTGGTATTTTTATAACAACATCTTCTTTGAAGATGTTTCTTCATTGTGGGATGTTAGTTCTTTTCTGATATTTCTCTTCAGAATTTGGTTTCAGTACTGGCATTCATTTTGGATGCCACATGGAGATATTTAGAACCAAGAAACTTTTCATACAACCCACTGAGGCTATGGAAGGTTTTTTGCTAAGGTCATCCCGTGTCAGAGTCTTTTCCACCACATTTGCTCACTTTGTGCAGCTGAACTTATGATACCTTCAGCTTCTGATGCCCATTACTCTACCTAGTTTTTGAATACTTCTTCTCTGTTCCCTCTTGCTATTGTCTCTTTTAGGAATTTTCTGTCCTTTTTGTTCTGTTCTTGCTGAGAGTAGGCAAGGAAAAGGAGATGATAGCCTTCTTTCCTACTTGTTAGTATCTCTAATGGAACACACATTATATTTGAAGTCAGTTAATCCAAGTTGCAGTCCTGGATTTTAACAGTAATCCCTCCTTTACTGAACTTCTGGTGGTGCATGGGTGGCGTTGTCACTTTGGGGCTCAGAGGTATTGGGCCCATAATCTTTTTTTTTTTTCGTTGGAGTCTCACTCTGTTGCCCAGGCTGGAGTGCAGTGGCACACTCATGACCACTCCAGCATCGACTTGCTGGGCTCCAGGATGCTTCCACCTCAGCCTTCCAAGTAGCTGGAACTACCGGTGCGCACTACCACGCCCTGCTAATTTTTGATTTATTGTAGAGACTAGGTCTTGGCAAGTTGCCTAGGCTGGTCTTGAACCCATGGGCTCAGGCAATCCACTCGCCTCAGCCTTCCAAAGTGCTGGGATTACAGGCTGAGCCACTGAGCCTGGCCTGGCCCATAATCTTAACCTCTTTGGACCTTTGTTTCCTCATGTACAAACTGAGGGGTCTGTTTTCTGAAATCTATTCCTGAGTCTAGGAATCTATACAAAGATTTCATGACAGAAGACCAGAATGAATGGCTGAACCTTGTTGTTGAAAGTATAATGTAGTATAACATTCTGCAGTACCTATCAACATTTTAAATGTACTTACTTTTTACCCCAATACTGTACCTTCAGGAATCTGTTCTACTCAAAGAAGTGTACAAGGATATATGTACAAGAATGTTCATTGCTGCTTTATTGTAAAAGTGTAACATCAAAGACACTGCTAAGGTCCATCAGTGGAGGAATGGTTTAATAACCTATGTTATACTAATATGTTAGTGTTCCCTGCAGCTTTGCAATGAAAAGGTATAAGCACATGGACTGTCCTAGAAGAATGATCATCATATATTGTTAAGTAAAAGAAGCAAGTTTCAGAACAATATGCACATGAGCCTATTTTTTGTAAAGCAAAACAGTATTAAAAGCTACATAAATTCACATATATATTTGTGTGTGTGTGTGAACGTAAAAGTATATATGTAAAACATCTGGAAGGAAAAAGGTCTGGATGTGCATTTCCTTGAATGCATATACTTTTATTTAAAATTATTAACAGTGACTACCATGGGGAGTGGATTCGGTGGAGTAGTAAAGAGTTGGGAAAGAAGAATTCTGCTTTACTTTTTTGTATATTGCCATATTATTCACATTATTATTTTAAAAAGTTAAAAAAATATGAATGTCTGAAAATAGTACTCTAATAGTCCATCTTTTAGTCTGACTTTTAGCCTGCAGATAAAAAGCATGCCAACAGTTATGGGGCCCAATATTCCTCTAACTTTCCCTCTCATGGCTCTATCTTACCCTTTCTTTGGCCTTCCTTGCTTTCTGCATTAGACCACAGAATAAGAGGCCTTGCTCTGCAGAAAACCTCTGGTAAAATATATCTGTAAAAAATTTTACATACATATAGTGTGTGTGTGTACTTGCATCTGTACCGTTCTTTCATCTGTATACCTCATATACCCCTATGTGACCTATGAAAGGATTCAAAGATAGAGGGAGCTTTTTTAATCTTTGCTATTAGCATAGTAACAGGAATTTTTAAAAAAATTGCATTAACCTCCAAACACACTATTCCTGCCTACTATCCTCAGTTTTATGTTTCTAAAATTTAAAACTGATTTTTTTTTACTCCTTTGCATTTTAAAACTTTCTACTGCTTCCTGATGCCTAAAGTAGTACTCTGAACTCTGTTGGACATGCATTTCCATTAATGCATATGGCTTTATTTTAAAATTATAAATGTGTTTACTACTTTACTAATCTGTCATGTACATTCTAAACACAAATAAAAATAGAAAAATAACAAATGAAATGAGAATGAAATAAATTTTAAAATATTTCTATTCTATTTACAAAAGTTATAGAAAACCCTGTTTGTTCATATAATAATTTTGCTTTTGGTGACAGCAATGCAATTGAGTATTCCTTATTGTAATTTTAAAATTTCTACTTGAAAAACTTGTGATATGGAAATTCACAGGTCTCATCCTAACTTCTGTATGTTTTGTTACTTGGTTTTAATGGCTATCATAACTGAAAACGATACATCTGGGTAACTTGTGAGTTGAACTTACTAAATCATAATACTCATCTTTCAATCCTGTTCACCAATTATATTCCCATTTATTTTGAAATCCAGCTAATAAATTCCCGTTTCCTGATGACAGTTGGTTCTTTAGATTTTTTTTCTAAAGGGTTCATAATCTTCACTCTTCAGTTGGTATCTTTAAAAACTCTGTTTTTAGAATTTAGAAAATTCTGTTAGGCAGTTTAGATATACAGATATGAGTGATTTTTTGCAGTTTATACAGATATGAGTCATTTTAGGCCCCAAATCATATAATAGTGGAAGCATTTCAATGTATCTATTTAAAAAAATGTTATCTTCAAAACTTGAAAGTGTTTTTTGTTTTCATAATGCAATAATTTTTATTCTCATTGATAAAATGTTATCTTTACCTTGAGGGGTGAGATTAAGTGTGTTTATATTTTCTAAAATATCTGTTGGGTTGCATATGATTGACAGCCATTATTTTGAAATCATAATGTGTCTGGGTATGAACTCATATTAGGAGCAGAAAATATGTCAGTGTTGCCAGTTTTCTGGTGTTAGTAGTATTGCTAGTAATATTAGTATTATTAGCTTAATGTTATCTTCAATATGTGTGGATCTATTTTGGCCAACTTGCCATTTTTGCAAGGATTAGTTTAGCTAAAGCTAGAAAATATCCATAAATCCATGTAACTGGGCATGGGTAAATACTCACTAATTGTAGTTGTTGCAAGTGTAGGAACCGATGAGAGTACCGGTGTCCTTACCTTTGTGTTCTGGAATGCCAGCTCTTTCATCTGTATACCTCATCTCCTGACCCACATATTTAGTAAAGGTTCCAAGGTTAATTCATGTATTTATTGGTTCATTTCTTACTTTTTACAATACAAACTACACATTTAAAAGAAGTCATAGCTATGCAGAAATATTTGGATTTGATTACCTTTTCCTTTTTTTTTTTTTTTGATGGAGCTTGTGATAGATTTTCTTCAATTTTTCAACCAACAAATATTTATTGAATACAATCCATGGGCAGTGGAGGTACAACAGCGAACAAAAACAGATGTGTTTGCTATCCTTATGAAACCCTCAGTCTTGTGAGACTCTCAGTCTTGTGGCAGAAGAGTGTGAATCAAATTATTAAGCAGTAATCAAATATGGAATTGTAATAAAGGAGAGAGATATTTGGTACAATTGTTTGTGATAGTGTAATTTCTTCTTCTCTGAGGTCCAGTGCCTTCAAAGTGTTTTTTTTTTTTTTTTGCGTTGGAGTCTCACTCTGTCGCCCAGACTGGAGTGCAGTGGCCGCTCCCGGCCACCGCAGCCTCGACCTGCTGGGCTCCGGCGATCCTTCCACCTCAGCCTTCCGACTAACCAGAATTACAGGCATGCGCTACCACGCCCGGCTGATTTTTTGATTTATTATAGAGATGAGGTCTCGCTGCCCAGGCGGGTCTCGAACCCGCGGGCTCAGGGAATCCACTCACCTCAGCCTCCCAAAGGCACGGGATTACAGGCTGAGCCACAGAGCCCGGCTTCAAAGAGTTTTTTAAGTAAATATTTGTTTTCCTAAAAATGTCAAAAAAACTAAGATTAAGTTCCAATGCATGCTGAAAAATATGTACTATATTGAAAAATTAATGCATATTCGGTTAACTAATAAAATTAAGCATTCTTCAAACATTTATTTACATATGTTATTTGCATATATGTATATATAAATATATGCCAAATACTGAGTTAGCCACTGAAAATGTAGAGACAACCAATGGCCAGTCCTTGTTCTTCAGGGAGACAGTCATATTC